CATAGTTAGATTTGATAAAAACTAGTGTGAAAACGACATACAAAATATTTTTTTTATATGTCTTTGTCATTTAATAAAAATTTTTTATATATAAGCAATTGTGTGTATGTGTGTGCAAAAATTAACTTTGGAAATATTAAATATATTTTTAAAATAATAAATTAAAATAAAGTTACCGTTAAAATAAAATTCTCTATTCTACATTAAATAATTCATTAATAAGAAGAAGATGAATGGTCATTTTTCGTAGATAAAATGAACGGAATTACTTGAATCCAAAATTAATAAATAGCGGAATTATAAATGTAAATAATCTATCATGTAAATTTTGCGTTAGTCTCTCGTGTAAAAATGCTGGCGGATAAATTTATGGCAATTTTTATGATAGCAGAAAAAGTATCGAAAGCACTAAATATAAATAAACGTATCACACATCTCAGAATCACATATTTTATATATTGATATATATTTGTTATATAAACAGATTTTATAATATTAATTAGATATTACATATGAAAGAATTTTTATTTAAAATTTTTATTAATATAATATATAATTAGCATAACTATAATATAATTAAATATAAATAATTATTTAGATAAATATTCTTTTTATACGCAAATGTATAACAATTGAGTTTTAATTAATAAGAAACTGGATCTTTTCTCTCACACAATTGTCATGTTTAAATATTAAAAATTTATAGGAATACAAGTTTTATACTTAATAAAAAAATACTCAATGATTATACGTGATCCAATTTCGCGACATCACTAGAATGCATGCCAGAAAATTTATGAAAATTGTATTTCGAGAGACTCGAAATGAGCTTGCCGTCTTGCACAGCCGGATTGCTCGGAGAGTCGATGTCGATTATATGAAACCAGCAACGTCCATATCCACCCTCATCCTGATCCCAGGTGCTTCCTGGGAAACAGCTGCCATGGCGCACGCGCCTCCGCGCCGACGAAGCAGTGATTGATCAATTTTTAAAAAGCAATGTTCCTAATTGACCCGCCGCGCCGGTTCGTTTTACGGCAGGCCGTTTATATCTTACGAGGAGGCGTCGGTCAGGGCATCTTAGTCATCGAAAGGTGTGTTCTACTGCGATTCATGCCAGTTGATCATCTGCAGACATCGTTTTGAATCGACTAGCCAACAAAAAAACATTAATATCGACCATCGATTGAACATCATTCATTAGCATATTAACAAACTGCTGCAAATAGTGCTAGAATATAAAAGGTTTTGGTTCGAGAATACCGTCATGATTGGAATTTCGATAAATTCTTTATGATATTATTTACGTCATGAGAGGAACACACGAAGAATAAAAAACGCGGTCTCCAAAGTTAGTCCGTTGTTTATTTTACTTCGCGTATCTTTTTAATATTACTTTTTTGCGCATATAATTGTTATTTGATCATATTGATATTTTCGAGGAGTAAATAATAATTATGAACGCTTAGATACATTAATTTATGTATTTATATAGTTATATTATATTGTAAATATATAGCATCATATGTAATAATATATTTTAATATAATTGATACAATTTAGTCGAGGAGGAGTAAGATTGTATTTCAAATATTTACGCTAAGTTTAATGTTTGATTAATAAATTAACGATAACATCACAAAATGAATGAAAATATCGTATTTTTATACCGCTTTCATTACATCGATTAAAAGTTTTAATACTATAAGCAGAAAATCTATGGAATTGGCAAAAATACAAAGCCCACGCGGGCACGACCTATCGATTCTACGTATGACAGCGATTATCGAATGAATTACAGTAGTGCATTGTCTCACGTGCAATGCAATAAATGATGCTAATTTCATCGTGTCATATCCTGCCTCACGTTGAATCGAAATCTCGATGTATTTTCGAGCGATAATTTCCGCAATGATTGTAATAATAAAATTATTGTGTTACTTATAATAGTAAAGTATATAGAAATTGTTTTTAGCACATAAATTATTTTTACAAAATACGCTAAAGAGATTGGTGCAATTTGTAAAAGTTAAATATTGAATACCATAATGATTAATATAAACAAGAAGTTGTTTATTTTTTTTAAGTTAAAATATCTCTTTGTTAGCAAAATAAGCTATGCATTTTTTTAAGGAAGATTTTTGTTACCAATAAAGAACTTATAATTATCGGTATATCTTGTATATAAAAATTAACAATACTATATATTGATAATAATTCTTAAAATTTTTTGGAACTATCTCCAGATTTAGAAACGCTTGTTGCCGTATATCGATCGTTTCCAAAAGCAGATTTACCTTGGAGATGTCATTTACCTTGGGAGATGGACATTAGATTAATTGCAATTATGGATATTCTATCTATTTTTGGCGATCACGACACTTCATCAAGTATTCTTCCTATTGTTTCTATTACCCAAAATTATATGAAAAACGAAGTCATTTACGTGTATATGTCTTTATACAAGTGCTATGTTAAAAATATTTTAATTTACAGAATTATTATGGTACTGGTTAAAAACGAATATAGTTTATCGCACACGTATTCTTTCCTTCTGCAAAAAAAGATTTTCCTCTCCCTGTCGTAAATTATTCCAAAAGCATCGGTAAGAGTTCTAATTAAATATTAAGTTCGAACTTCTGTGTCTATACTGTGATACTACTTTGTACAATATTTCTAATCGATCTCTGATATTAAGTTCCGATTCAGGAATGAATAAAAGATTCATCGATTGCTCGGCTTTCCGGTATCGGACACGTACGTCGAACGTACTCGTTCGCGCGTTGTTATTTCGTAACAGAAGTCATTAGCATCCGCTCGCGTTAATTAACGGAAGTTCTGCTATATGTATATAGGCTTGATGCATTTGCGGGGTAGGGGGTGTATGTGATAATGCGCGATTTGCGCGTAGGCAGTCTCTCTTTCTCTCTCTCTCTGTCTCTTTCTCTCTCTCTCTCTCTTTCTCTCTCTTTCTCTCTTTCTCTCGTGCTTTTTCCCTCTTCTCATGTAACGGCGAATTATCCACGGGATTTTAGCCGCGGTTTCATCGCAGTTCTACCGTGAAATCGACACGCCCACGACCGAGAGACGATTTGTCGGTAGAGTGAAGACGATGTGCGCCCTAAAAAAAGGGCGGCCGAAAACCTGCCCTTATCGCACAGACTGTGTTTTAAAATAAGAAGTTCTAAAATTGATAAAAATAAAATCAGCACATTGTGATAATTTTTCGCGAGATTATCATGTCAAAAGTTACAAATGACGGTATCTGGTAAGAAAAATATGAGTTTATGTATGCGAATATATATACATATCATGTATGCATAGGTATATATCTGATTTTATAAGGATGTAGTGAGTTTTATGGAGATGGAGGAGAGCATGTTCGATTCTACGCCACTGACTGATATATAGACGCTGATTCGGTCCCAATGCACTTAACACCATCCAGCTCTAATGCCATTCTCTCGTCACGAGCGTCCATCCTTGAGAGTCAAGAGACCCGCCAGCTGTTACGAGCCTCCGACAAATATCACAGGAGGATAAACGTTAACTTAGCCAAAAATGACATCATTGTTCATGTTCAATTAAGATTTAACAATAAGAAAGATAAGATTACGTGTAAGAAAAGATCGAGAATGCGAAAAGAAGATCTTTTACGCCTCGAGTTATTTAAAATCAACATAATCATTATAAATTTTGCCTAAACAGTTTATTATAATACCATAGAGTCATTATTCCATACATACACGCACACGATAACAATTAATCAAAATTAAAAAGTTTGATTGTTTTTGCTGACAAAACGTCAGTATTTATAAAATTACATAAAATTAATGAATATTGTTAAAATCACTATACGCAAACTTTTAACCGACAATAGGCGAATTAAAGTTCGTAAAATTCGTTTCGTGAATTGAAATATTTATTCGAATACTCCGAAATCTCTTGAGTTTGACATTAAGACGCCTTCGAGTGCATATGAGTGCAACGATTGCTTCATGGCAATACCTGAGGTGTACACTGGAGCGTGTAAATCCCATATATCCAATTAGATTCGTATAATCCTCGTATGTTAGCCGAGGGTGTACCTACCCCCCGAACCGCCACCCCTTTTGGTCTCCGCCGTACTGCTCTTCTCTCTATGTGTGTCCCGCCGCTACGCATGTATACGTGTGTAGGTGTATGGGGTGGCGCAAGCGCGCATCCCGCGCTAATACTAAAGTACTAATTTATGGGCACATATGAGATAGCTATAGTGCGCGTTACCGTGCCAGGAAAGGACTATAGTCTGCGGAGAAGGACGGGAGCGAGAGAAACAAAGAGAGAGAAAGAGAGAGAGAAACTGTACTCCTAGTGGTGGTACGTCGGTATTGGTGGTGGTAGTGGCGAGATAGGGCGAGGGTAGGTAGGTATATCGGAGAACACAGAGGCGGGCTTTGCATGCGATATCAATAAATCAAGTCCCCGGGACCCCGGCAGCTTAGGGGGCCACTACGTGGCCAGAATCAACAGCTCATAACGTCGGCTAATAGCTACCCGCGGTGGGGTCGAAGATATTGTCGTAACACCGAGGGACACCTTACCGTCGCAATGGTTGGATTTGGTCGCGTCCTATTGAGGGAAAAAAAATGTTATCGCGGGCAGAGGAGGGCGGGCGAAGAAATTATCGAAAATATACGATTCTCGATCATATCGTAAACTAAAGCAAGTATGCTTTGTTTCAAGAATAATAATCGGCTCAGTGACTTTCTTTCTCGTGCTCATTGACAAAATGTTAAAGGGAGACTGGTTTTATTTTTTAACGAATCGTTGAAATCGATCGATCGGCGAAGTCATTCATAAAACGATAAAATAGCAAATATGTATGAGAAAATTCAGGTAACATGAATACATATAACGAGAATTATATAAAATATTTTTTTTTTCTACGCGGAAATTTCGAGAATTCTTTTTCGGACTACAGCGATAACGATCGATATCTTTTGCTTTGTGTGCTACAGGTATGGTTTCAAAATCGACGAGCCAAGTGGAAGAAGCGCAAGAAGACGACCAATGTGTTTCGGTCTTCGGGATCGCTGTTACCGTCGCATGGCTTGCCTCCCTTCGGACCGATGAGCTCCGATCTGTGCAGCGGAATGTTCCATACCCCCGCGGACAGATGGGGAATGGGGACAGGTCAGATATCAATAGTCAGTTTTATTACTAACCGTGTATAAGAAATGACAGGTAAAAAAAAAAAAGAAAAGATTATCCGTCCACTTACATCGGGACGGAAAACGCTTTTTCGATCGCTTCTAACAGAATTGGCGCGCACACACACACATTCGTTACTTTCCAGATAGTTAAAAATGACATTTTTATACGCGAGACTTTTTCTGAAGTCCCTTTAAAAACATTGTTTCGTCTGAGAGAATATTTTCTGTTTAAAGCGCAGTTATCGACTTCACAAGTCACGCTGGATCATTAAAAAATTAATTGATATCTCATAATGTAAATACTGTGATGTGATATCAATGTGTATTGATATTCAATTTCGCTGCCGAAATAGTTTATATTTCTACACAAAATCAAATTGTCTTATCCATAAATTTTTAACTCGTTTTATTCCATGAGTTTAAAAATATGATGTCTTTTACATAAACATATTGGAGAGATTCCCAGCATAAAAAAAAATGTAACATTTTATTCTGCTTACATAAATCATTATCTCTCTCTTTCTCTCTTTCTCACTTTTTTATAAATATTTTAATTGATATCTTAAATTGTTCCATTGTCTTACGAGGTATTTATACAATCAATTTTAATAAATGTAGAAGAAAATGTAGTGAACCGAGAAAGAGATTTATAATAAATCCGACATATCCACACTTTTGTAATAATCTTTGTTGAAAGAGATACTAAACACACATCTCTCCATAAATAAATAATTATATTCAAACAAGTAGTTTATTTTTTTTTTACAAATATTAGAATATTAACGACGTGTAAGGAAGATTTTATAATTTTTTTATATAATCCAATGTGCAATATTTTAATCATATTTAATTTTAATTTATATCTCTTTCATCTGTTTAGTTCATAGATGTGCTTTTATATACACATTTTATTTCAAAAGACGAAAAAATACTGTTGAAACGGAGATGTAGTAAAATCGAAGAAATTTGGGGTAGCAAACACTTCTTTTTTTATTTGATCAAAGTACATTATCCGTATTTATGTAAATTGGATACAATGATCGCGTCATTTAATGCACGATACGATTAGCGTCTTGTATGGGCGTTAACGGGAGAAGAAGCAACTCGAGAAGGAAACAGCAAAATACTTTCGTAGACGAAGTCGCGACGATTGCTCGTCTCCTAATTTAATTTCGCTCGTCTCCACACTGCTTGAGACAGTTAAAATTACTTACTCATATTATCGGCCCATGGTTGTTCACCGACGACGACACCGATAACCAGCCTTTCCCATTCCTTTGCAAACTCCACCGCGTCAATACGTATGCAACCTTGTATTTTAATTACGGTAATTTAGCTGCAACTCACTCGTCGTTCCACAGGTCTCGGGCAATTGCAGGGCGGCATGGCGATGGGTAGTTTCGGGCAGCTCGGTCAACAAAGCACGGGAGGTCTGGGTTCCAGTCTGGGCCTCGGCAACTCCGGACTCCCGATCAACAGCCCGTCGCAATCAGTTTACCATACTAATTACGGACTCAATTCTATCGGTAAGTTATGATGAGAAATGACGGCTTGCTGTCAGATAGATACATAACAAAAACGATATATTATATGCTGTTAGATGTGCGTAACAAAATATTATTTTTTTTTCTATTGTAAAATATATTTAAAAAATATTGATTATAATTTAGGCTTGAGACAACAAATATCGTTAAATTTGTTAACGTCAAAATTTGCGTTATTATCTTTATTATCGTTTACGGTTTTTTCTAAAATATAAGTCGTAAAATTTAGATAAAACAAAAGCATTGTACGGTTATATACTTTGCTTCTTCAGACGATTTGAGTAACGTTTTACGCGTGTAACGTTTTACCCGTTGCTTATTCAAGTAACATGACATGTTGCTGAGAGTTGGCGACATGCGTGAACGCGAATAGACACACCCAGGAGAACGTTCGCGTCAACCTGGCCGCTTATATACGCGTTGATAATCGTCTTGCCAAACTTTTGGACCGTGGTCCTCTAAAAGACGACGTGCAAACAGCGCCATGGAAGTCTCTTTGACGAAGTCGTTAAATGTTACGGTGCATTAAGGTTCGAAGGGGTTATGCGCCTGCACGTAAGGAATTTGAGACAGAAACATAAACCCCGTCCTCCCATCTGTTTACGCAGGTAGACTCCAGGCCCGATCTCGCACCTAGGTGCGAGATCTTTCGCTGTATGTTTACCATAACATCTCGATGCAACCTGTCTTGGTTGAGTTACGCTTCGTCTCACCCGGGGGGGACTTTGTATCTTCAAAGATACTTCATGGGATAAATCGCGTGTGAAATTCCTTCTTTCACCAAATCGCTGTGCGCCTCGGTCGTCATTTTCATATTAAGTGCGAAAATGAGATTTTTGTTTCATTCATAAATGCATATATTTTTTGCGAAGTATCTCATATAATTTACTATTCTCAACAGTCTGAGACAAAAATATTGAATTTTAATATAAAAGTCTAATAACAGAAAGCTATTAAATACGAAATAAGATTTATACGTCTAACAATAAAGCATTATATTTGATGCATTATATATTAAAACTCGGAATATCTACCTATGTATGTATTGAAATAACAAATCATTGAAAGCTATTGTTTTTTTTTTTTAATTGCGATAAGTCAGATTTCAACGCTCATAAACCTTGTAGAAATAACGAACTTGCGAGATGATAACAAGAAACTCGATAATAGGATAACAGTCTGGCTGTCTACTTATTTACAGAAATTTTTTTATTTCAGAATATTTCTCAGTAGCTAATAAATCATATTTAAGAAGAAACGGTGTAAACAAAAGCATCGTTTTTATAAAATGTGAATTGACACACTTAAGTCATCCATGTTAGCATATTTGGCCCCAGGTCATCAACCCTGAAGATGAATCTGTCGATACGATACGAATTCAATTCATGAATCTGTCAAATTCTTTCTCAACAAATACATAAGTGGAGAAAAGACGAGTGGCATCAGACATTAGAATTTACTAGAGTTACAATCATGTTGCCGCAAAGTAAAAACTGTATCGGACGTAATCACTGATTAAAATATTCGATATATAATTACATAGAGATGTGATAATCTAAAGCTGTAATTATCAAACTCCTCTAAGAAAGCGAAGCTTACAATAAAAATCCGACGTAGCATAATTTCGCAAGCTGACTGCAGTGTACATCAAGATTCATGTGTATGTGTGTCCGTGTGTGTGTGCAAGCGCACGTAACGCTTATACGGTGGCAATTACCGAACGTTATCGCCGGATAGCGTCACTTGAGAGGAGAAAAGAATTGGCATTCCATGAGCGTGTCGATGTATGTGGCGAACGCGGTTCTAAGATGAATACGTCTAGCCTGAGCCTGGCAACCCGCTAGCAGTCTTTATCCGCGGATAATGCTTAGAGTAAATAGCTTTTAGAGTAGAGCGTTATTTTTCGGTTACCGATGATGATTAGCACTGCAATGTAACCCAACCAACGGCATGGTGCGGTTCCTAGTCGATCGGAGAGTTCCATTTGATGTCTCTTTCTTGCTCTCTCTCTCTTTTTGTCTTTTTACCGGCGGTCACTAGGCAGACGCGCAAACAAGAGCCTTCATAATGCGGAAATTAACGTTTCAAAACGCCTTATTTTCAGCGCACGCTGCAAACGGTGCAAAAGTCGCGTGTCTTACACAGAGGGTCGTATAATTTCTATAAAAATTTGAATTTTAATGCCTTCTTAAAAACATATTCTCTTAAATGGAATGAATATATTATCATTGATAAACAGTAGTTTTAGTTATAAATATAGCGTCAAAAACAGTGAAATCTCACTGAGAAGAAGCGTTAGTGGTAATGGCTGATTTTACAGTCAAATCTTATTGTCATAATTAATGAAACTTATACATAAGACGGAAGAGCAAAGTGTGATTGTCTTGTCACTGCTTTAAGGGGACATACCCGTTTGAAATCTCGAAAACTGAGTACATTTTTTTAGACTTTTTTGCAGCGCAACGACTTGATAAAAATTTTTAATTTTTTTATGCGTATATTTATAGATTTATGTTTTCATGCACGGTGCATGAAAACTCGGGCTACGTTCGACAGACTTCAAATTTTACATGCGAGTTTCTAATAAGATTCCGCATCTGTCAACGAAGCCTTTTCTAAATCCGATTCCCCATTTTCTTGTTATAAAAAAAAAGATGGACTTTTTTTCAACACGTCGCAATTTTTTTATTTTTTAGAATTTTGAAAAAACGCTTGGGTAGCAGATAGCTATTACAATGTTTAATAAGAAAAAAACTTGGATTTTTGATTTCAGATATGATCTACGAACGTTTTCATGCACACCGTGCAGCCAGCTAAAATTTGGAGAAGCTCCGCAAATATTCCCATAACTTCAAAAAAAAAATTTTTTTTAAGCTGAAAATTTTTATTTAAGTAGTTAATAATATTGTATTGATATCGTAAAAAAATTAAAAATTTTTATCAAGTCATTGCGCTGCAAAAAACTCCAGAAAATGTACTCATTTTTCAAGGGGTTTTCAAGAAGTTTCAAACGGGTATGTCTCCTTAATCAGTGATATTTTCACTGGTTCAATTTAAGAGAGTAATTATCTTTACACACATAAATAGAAAACGCACGCACTTCATGCTGCGTATTGCCTTGCTTTATTTACATTTAACTTTGAACGTCAAGTTATGCATTCGCCTTGTACATCCCCAAACCTCATCGATTCTGCGCAGGACGAATCATCATAGCAGCCGACAATAAGTCATAAAATCACGTACATCTCGTAGCTATTAGACGTTCATTCTTTCGTACGGCTTTTCAAAAGCGGCCGCTGCCGCTATAGTCCTCTGCAAACTCGTGTTCGGCGCAACGCACCGTCATAAAAAAAATTTTTTTTTTTTTTTTTCCGTTGTCTTTCGAGCCCACCAGCGTAGCGCGCGAGAAGGCGGAAACGACTTTACGACGGCCGGTAGCGCATCCCGCGCGCTTTGTCAGCTTACCGTATTAAATATCTCTTCTGCAGAGAAATGAAACGTTCTTTCCTCCGCACCTGCAATATTGCACCTGTAAATTGCCTCTTTTCTACCTGAATCGTTTCAAGGATCTATTTCGCCTTGTCGGTAGATTCGTGTAGTTAACTACAACAATAAATATTTATCCTACGTTATTCACTGTGTTTATCGGAAAAAAAAATGTTTATTGCTTACCGATAATAACAAATTGTTGAGAACTCATGAAGAATAATTTGCGAACTATTCTTGTTTAGGATAGAGGAGAAAAAACACTTACTTAATCCTGAGACCGTTTAGGTCGATTGCGCTGGTATAAATTCGCATTAAATAATAAATAATCGAATGCTCCACGAGAAGAAAAACACTCACCTTTGTCAATTTCTCCCACTTAACAGGCGGCGTTCACGTGACGGCATCTCGGGGTTCGCCACCGGTCGGCGGTCAGATGGGTTCGGGCCTGAACTGCGGCCAGGGTTCGCCGGGCACGACTTCCGGTGGCAGCGGGGGTGCCGGCAGCGGCGGGGGTGGTGGCGGCGGCGTCTCCTGCGTCGGTGCCGACGTAAGCGCGAACGAGGCGTCGGACTGGAGAGGCGCCCACAGCATCGCGGCGCTCAGACGCCGTGCCTCGGACGCCTCGCAACAATACAGTCCACAACCGCCACCGCCGCCACCCCCAGGACCACCTCAGTACTCCCATGATCTGGAGTACAGTCCCGTTTATTGAGACATCGCCTGAACGTCCTTTGACGTTCAGTTGCACGGGAGGAGAGGTTACCGGCCGTCGCGGTAGAAACTTACCGTAATTATCATGTGTGGAACGAGTACTCCTCTCTGTTCATCGTCAAGGAATCGCAAGATAGGACGGTGTTCCCGCGACCGATTCTACAGAAGAAATCTATCCAGTTTGTCTGGATTGTGATTTTAATAAAGTCAAGATAATGCAGCGAGGTCAAGATCGACGATATTAAAACGAGCATCCTGAATTCGATTTGCGCGAAGGTCTAAAATTATTCGCCGTTTTGAATTTAACATAAAACCAATGGTGAAGCATAGCAAATAACGACGGAATTAGAGTGGTTAAATAATTTCGGATGTTTCAACCGACAAATGTCCAGCTGGTTGGCAAGAGTTCATAATAGTTTGACCATTACGACCACTTTATCGCGATGAGAATTTCAATTCTTTAAATAACATGAATTCGTCGTCCTGTCAGAAGAAACAGTTGCAGGAATAATATGAAGAAACCACACGAAAGGAGTACTCTTCTATAAATTCGCATAGAGGTAAAATCAGGGTAGAAAATCGAAATTGCTGGCGGTATCGACAGTGACAATTTATGCAATACTCGTCATCATAGCCTTCCCAGGACCATCGTGACATAAGATAAACGTATTAGTTCCTGCGCAAGACCGATTTCTAAACAAAAATATGCATGTTTATTGATATTAAACTTCTGAAGAAATGTTTAGACAGAAAAAGTTTAAGAAGAAAAAATGTAATTAATATTTCATATACCAAATGTTTTTTTCGTTAAAATCTAGATATTTCGTTTTGTTTTATAAATTTATATGTTTTAAGATATGGATGAAAAAAAAACTTATAATATCAATAAAAATGCATATTTTTGTTCAGGTGTATCGGTCTTGTTACGAACTGATACGTTTATCTCTTACGTATGACATATGTATACCACAGTTTCTGCAAATGTGTCTTGCTGATGTTAATACTACTGGACTAATCCTCGACTGGATGCCATAAATATAAGAAAGATAGAGTAATTGTGATGTATATTATGGAGTTGTCGTAATATTTCCGACAGGTAGTATCTAGTCAAATATTTGTTAAATTGT